AATCAAGCGCACCTCCAGCAGAAGCGACTCACCTGCGACGAAGCGTATTATCAACGACGGATCCACACGAACACCAGGTGTTGCTGAGTGAAGTTACTGCCATTACCTCACACGATTCTTGTTCGCATCGCTGAACTCACCAGCTGCCAAAGACCTGTTCGATAGAGTCGAAGCTGTAATTCACCCAGGAGTTGGTTCGTTGTTCTCAAAGGAAGTCTTTGTAGCGAATAATAATTAGGATACGCCGAGATGTTTCCTGGCGCTGGGTACGTGACGGGTCGGCTCCGCGAAGCTGGGAATGTGACGTACCGCTTGCGGGAGGCTTCGCGGCTCCCGAAGGTGCGGGTCCGGCGGGTAGATGAAGTCTCGGAGCCCTTGCGGGAACCCGGCATCATAACCGGCTACAGAAATGAGAACTGCACTGTCCTCCAGGCCGTTGTTTCGCTCTTCAATGCCACCAATGAAACGGTCAACTTCTGGACACATTTCCTGGCGTCTGTCTACTTCATCTGGCTCCTCGCGTCTCTCTCCTCCGCAATGCCACTCTTTGATGATCCGTATTTATACCCGCTTACCTGCTACTTGTTTACCTCGTGTGGGTATCCACTCATGAGCTGCATAGCGCATGCCTTCTCCTGTCTTTCCATAACGGCCACACACGTGTGTTATTTTCTGGACTATGCTGCCCTCTCCGTGTACACTTGGGGCGTCGCATATGCCTACTACAGCTACTGCTTAGCGCCACAACTCATGGACTCGTGGTTCGCTCAGATCTTCCTTCCTGTGGCGCTGATGAACGCAGTGTCTGCCACATTCTGCGCCTGTCTGTCGCGCTTTATTGTCAACCCAATCATCCAGAAGTCGTTGCGGGTGTCAGCCTTCGTGGTGCCGGCAGTGTGGGACCTGACGCCTCTTGCCCTTTGGCTGTACACCTGCGACGCCAGCGCGGAGTCCTGCGGAGAGTCCCGCATCCACCACATCAACCAGTACGTGTGCGTCATCGTTGCCTCCTTCTTCTACGGCTCGCACTTTCCCGAGCGCCTTGCACCGGGTCGCTTCGACATTGTCGGTCACTCGCATAACCTGCTTCACGTGTTCAGCTTCCTGGCGACCAACGAACAAATGCGCGCCGTGCTCATTGACCTGAAGTTGCGGCGTGGCGTCCTTGAGAGCGTAGGCTGGATTCCCAACCTGAAGCTGCTGACACTTGTCACGCCCTGTTTAATAATAACCATTATTATCCTCGTACTGGTCATGACACGACTCCTGTCTCACAAAACCGCCACCGACACAGCTGCGAATCCGAACAAAGCTTGCTCCTCCGCGGCTGCAGAGACGTCTTCCCCGCCGCCTTGCCCCACCAACGGGCACCTTGACAATAAAGTGAAGGAAGAGTGACCAAAAGTGGTTCGTAGTCGCCTTACCTTCGTGGCTGATCCTCGTATCTCCTGCTGAGTGCAGAGTGTATGTATCGAATTATCTGGGAATCACAATCGCTATCGCAACGGGGAGAAGACATTTACTTTGAAATCTACGAAGTTGCAGAGGTGTAGCTAAGGTGCGCCGGTCAAGTGATAGGTGTAACTCAATATTAATCTGTGAATAGTGGGCGTACTCCTTAATGTTTGGTCTAAAGTGCCTTACAGTGGATGTATGAAAAAGAAACGTGAAATGCAAGTGACGAAAAAATGTAAATGTAAATTTTATCTATGCACAGCTTTCATAGTCGCTAAGTGTGATGTTTTGAAGACCAAACCGAAATACAAAGGGTAAAAAAAAAATCAGCCGATTACATCATATTTTATAGCTACGAATACCCATTTAAGATAACAAAGTCTTTCTTTGAACTTGGTAATGATTGAGAGTTATTGTTATTTACATTGCTACTGCCAGGGTCCACCTGTCGGTGTCTTAAATGCAAACCATCTCACTGATGAAAAATATCTGGTAGAGCACAAAAAGTTTGGGTGCCTTCATATCATTATTGATAATTAATCTTTTTCAGCACGATTCACACTCATGTCATCATAAATTGCAGCAGTTGAATAACATTCCAGACTGCTCACCACATTCCACATAGTATACATTACGTATTATTTATGAAAAAAATATACACCAGGGCAACCTCTGACTGATTGACAGCCAGAGAAGTGCGTCTGCTCTTCTTGGACAACTCTGATGGTTGCTAGCCAATACAGTAAGAGTGGCCGAATAGATTATTATAAGAAACGCATGCAAATTAGCTTGGAATGAATTACATCCACTAAGTAATTGGAAATGAATTAATTGTTGCAACTCTGCTCAGAGGGAAATATTAAACTAAAATGAAATCAACTGTACATAATGATTTTTTTAGTTACAGATATTATCGAGTGACATGAGTGCAATGTTTGTGATGCTGTTTGAGTTACTACAACACGAATGTAGGTTATTGCCTCGTAGTTTTTGTGATCGGTATATTAAACGAGTGTTGATTTTCTGATCACGACATCCAACGTTA